CCTGCACCCCAAACTGGCTCATCCATGTCTTTATGGACCTTGCTTTGTGCACTGGTGCGCAGTCATGTTGGAAGAGGAAGGGGCCATGCCCAAAGTGTTGCCACAAAGTTGGGAGCATGAAATTGTCCAAAATGTCTTCATATGCTGACATGTTAAGAGTTCCCTTCACTGTAACTAAGGGGCCAAGCTCAACCCCTGCAAGACAACCCCACACCATAATCCTCCCTCCACCAAACTTCACACTTGGCACAATGCAGTCAGGCAAGTTCCATTCTCCTGGCAACCACCAAACCCAGACACGTCCATGGACCTGAGCGCTGGTTTTGCTTTTCCTTCTTGTGTTATCACGTCCATCGGATTGTCAGACAGAGAAGTGTGGTTCGTCACTCCAGAGAACACGTCTCCACTGCTCTAAAGTCCAGTGGCAGTGTGCTTTACATCACTGCATCCAACCCTTTGCATTGCACTTGGTGATTTAAGGCTTGGATGCAGCTGCTCGGCCATAGAAACCCATTCTATGAAGCTCTCTATGCACTGTTCTTGTGCTAATCTGAAGGCCACACGAAGTTTGGAAGTCTTTAGCTATTGACTCTGCCAACAGTTGTTGATTGTTGCGCACTGTGCGCTGACATGCGCTGACCCCGCTCTGTCATTTTACATGGCTTACCACTTTGTGGTTGAGTTTTTGTTCCCAGTTGCTTCCACTACCACTAACAGTTGACACGAACAGTTGACAGTGGAATATTTAGTAGCAAGGAAATTTCACGTATGGACTTATTGCACAGGTGGCAACCTATCATGGTACTATGCTTGAATTTGCTGAGCTCCTGAGAGCAACCCATTCTTTCACAGATGTTTATAGAAGCAGTCTGCATGCCTAGGTGCTTGATTTTATACACCTGTGGCCATAGAGGTGATTGGAACACCTGAATCCAATGATTTGGAGAGGTGTCCCAATACTTTTGGCAATATAGTGTACTTTGTTCTCCACTCTGCATCATCCAGATCCATCCAAGTTTCGCTCCCTTTGTACGTGCAAGGTCTGGGGATCAAAGTCCGCCAAATTCAGACAAACCTTTCTCAGCATCCCCATTTTCCAGATTGGGGAGACTTCAGTTAATCTTTGCGAACACTTAAACTGCTTGCATTTTAGACACCTGGGTGTGGGAGACGGTATCCAAGAGCTATAAGGTGGAGTTTCACACCTTGCCCAATCCTTGGTTTCTCACCTCCATCTTACCATTCCCAGATTAAAGTAAGCCATCCACGCTATGTTGAAGCAAGAGTACACTCTGTGAGCTCTGCCGGATCAACAGGCTTTTCTGTATAAAGGAATGTATCCTCTCCTGCCCGCAGTTTGGTCTGGACCAGTGTTTGGCTGTCAGTACTGCCCAGTACTACAGTGTGGTTTGCACCCTCTCTATTTTATTTCAGAAATCATTCATTGGTCTCTCAATGCTTGACTAGTCTGTTGTGTAGTTACCCCGTTTTGTTCCCCTGTGATTTTGTGGAATTTGAATCTGGTTTTCTCTGAACTTCAGGATTCACCATTTGAACCAGTCAGAGACATATTCTCTCTTCTCTTATCCCACATGTGGTGTTCCTTGTGACGATTACTTCTGTGAGCCAAGTATCTGAACTGGTGGCCCTATCCTGAGAAGATTCCTTTCTGGTTTTGCATAAGGACATGGTGGTTTTAAGGCCCAGGACTTCTTTTCTGCCTAAGGTAGTTTCTGCCTTTCGTCTAAACCAGGACACCATTCTTCTTTCCCTCTGTCCAGCTCCAGTGCAACCACAGGAAATTTTCACCACTGACTGAATTCTGTTCAGCTGTGAGAGTTTGCCTCTCAGTTACTGCTACTTTAAGACTGATTCTTTTTTTGTCAGTCTGGATGGTGATTCTGCTTTGGCTTCTGGTTGCACCATTTCGATTTGGTTCAGGCAGGCCATCATAAAAGTTTATAGTCTCAAGGATTGGATTCCACTCTTTTCTGTCAAGGCATATTCTACTAGATCTGTAAGTGCTTATTTATTTGACATCAAGCAACTGTTCCTTAGATTTGCAAGGCTGTTTTCCCAGGTGGACGTCGGGGCCTCGGTAAATGTTAACTTTGGGTGTAAAGTCCTTCAGGCAATGCTAAGTTGTAGGCATTCTGTAGTTCTCTGTCGTTTTTTAATTGGGTGTATGGTGTTTGCTATGTTGCCCCACTCCACAGCTGAACTGCTTTTGGACATCCTGAAAGAGAGACTTTCTGTGTCCCTCAGTGGATAAGAAAGAAAATAGGATTTTTATACTTTAGGTAAAATCCTTTTCTTGGAATCCATCGAGGGACACAAGTCCTGACCATTTGTGTTTATGATCATTCTTTCAGTACTGCTTTTATACAAAACTGAGGCATACTGGTAACAGGAGGGGTTATAACTGGGGCTGGCTTACACGTTTTTTTTTTTTTTGCCAGTGTCATCCACTCTTCCTGTTGGTGGAAGTATAAACCAGACTTTTTTTCACTTGACGACTTCACGAAAAGGATTTTGAGGTAAGAACAAAAATCCTATGTATCTTTTTACCGTAGGTGGCACCTGGTGTTTGCTTGACATGATTCTAAAGTCTTTTTTGTTTTTAATAACAAACTGGTTTATACTTGCCTCCTCTGTGCAATGGAATTGCACAGAGCGGCCCCGAACCTCCTTTTCTGGGGTCCCCCCGGATGTGCTCTTGGTTCCTCTTCTTTTTTTATATATCCTGTATCATGACAGACAAAGCACATTGTTTCAAGACTGAATATAATCTCTAATTATAACATCACTATAGGAATGTAAATACTTCCACATATTCAGTATGTATACACTGATTACACTGATCAGTCTTAAAGTAGAACTATAGGCACGTTTTCTTTTTTTCATTTTGGAGAGATTTCCCTTCACTTCTTGTCCCATAGCCAAACAGGTTGTTACATATAATACCTGCACATTAACCTCTTCACGCCTAAGGGTAAAACAAATCTAAATACCTAAGCACAATTTTGCAAAGTTGACATGTGTTAGTAAAACCGTACATATCATCACAACTACATTGTACATCCAGGTGAATTATACCTTCTTTTTTTCAGGACAAATTGGGCTTTCATTTGGTGGTATATGGTAATGGATATCTCCTGTTTGTTTTTTTTTTTATCAAAGGAAAACTGGCCCAAAATAGTAAAAAATAAATTTTTATTTAGCTGTGTGTTTCTTGTTATTACCATAACCTACCACCAAAGAACAACTCAAAATAAATTCTCCAGCTCTTGACGATCGCAGCGATACCTTATATGTGTATGTTATTTGTTGATTGTACCTGTAGTACAGCCCAGAAACAATAGTGCACATTTTTGTTTGTTGTTTTTTACCTAAAACACACTAACTGACACAGATACCATTTTTTTTTAATCCTGACCTTTTGACCTTGTCCCAAGCACTTACCCTGGCACTGAACTAGATCAAACCTTGATCTAGGTATTTTTTCTTTATTTTATTTTTTATATTTCTTTTTTTCTTTTTTTTTTTATACAAACATTTTTTTCCCCCTCTATGCCAGGAGTTAGAGAGATACAATGTATCTCTCTCCTCCGTTCATAGAGAGATAAAGAAACCCAAGGGGGCCGGGCTATACAGTGACTGATCACTGTGATAGCCAGTCAGAGGCTATCACAGCGATCATGTGGCCCAGAATCAGGAGTCCCGGGTCCTGATTGTTAGAACGGGACCCGGTGCTCTCAGTGACACCGTGGTCTTTGTGGTGCGCTCCCAGCAGAAAGATTGGTACGCAAATATGTGGCCCCATGGAAAAAAGACCAGTTCTGTGAGGCCGCATATTTGTGTTACGTCGGCATTAAGGGAATTCCTTGGGGACCCCAAGTTCACCAGAACTAGTGTCCACATTGAAAACTTTCCCCTCTTACTTTTCTGGGGACTACCAAAAAACTGGGTTTTTTTTTTACTTTCACTTTCAGTGATAATGGTAAACAGGACACATATGATGAATCTCCTGAATTGAAAACAATGCCAACTGACCGGTGTTCTAATCCCCCTCCACTCTATCGAAAACTAAAAAAAAAAATGTCTTTAGTTATTCTTTAACTTTATGAAAACTAACAGGTAAAGTGAATAACCTTGATTTATCTTGTTACAAAGTCATCTGAAAGTTGAGAGATTTATTAGGCAGCAAGTAACCATGTTGTTGATTAAGTTGATGTGCTGAAAGCAAAAAAAATGGGCATCACAGTGTGTTGTCTATATGGCGGTGTAGCCGCAGACTGATTAGGGTGCCCATGCTGATCCTTGTCCACAGCCAAAAACACCTACAATGGGCACGTAGGCATCAGAACTGAATCACGGATCAATAGAAGAAGGTGACCTGGTCCAATGAATTGCGTTTTTCTTTTATATCATGGGAATGGCCAGGTGTGTATGTGTGTGTGTCACTTACCTGGGGAAGAGATGGCCCCAGGATGAAGTATTGAGGAAGTGGCAGTGTGAAGCTTTGGCTGGGAAACCTTGGTCCTGCCATTCATGAGGATGTTACTTGGAAACGTGCCACCTACCTAAACATTGTTACTAACAAAGTACACCCCTTCATGGAAATGGTATTCCCTGATGGCAGTGACCACTTTCAGCTTAATAATGTGCCCTGCCACACTTAAAAAATTGTGCAAGAATGGTTGAAGCACACAATAGTGAGTCTGAGGTGTTGATTTGGCCTCCAAATTCTCCAGATCTCAATCCAGTTGAGCATCTGTGGCATGTGCTGGAAAAACAAGTCTGATCCTTAGAGACCCCTCCTTGCAACTTATAGAACCTAAAGGATCTACTACCGACTGCTTGGTGCCACATACCTTAAAGTTGGCTTACCTTTTTAGCATTTTTATTATGAAAGCATTGCATGTTTTTAATCACATATAGTTAAAGGTTTGCACATTATTTCTTCCAAAACATAAAACTGTATTGCTCATGTGTTTCAGATGCAGATATGAGTGAATCTGGAATGTCACTTAAGAGTAGTGGATCTGCTGCCTCAGTGACATGTGCAAGTGATCGTAAAAGGAGAAGTTTACCAAAGCTTCCAAAAGAGGAAACAAGCTCCCACGTTTCTACAAGTAAGCAAACACATAGGTCAGATGTTGGAGAAAAACAAGATACAGAGTTACAAGAGAAAGAATCACATATTCGTTTAGGTAAGAAAGACAAGCTGTATGTTTCCAATGGAAAAGCTAGAACTAAGCAAGATAAACCTACGGAAAGTTCAATGGACAAAACTGGAACCCTCACAGATTATTCTTCCTTAGGGTTTGATGCTAAGAAAGATGCCTTACTCTCTGCACGGAGGCAAGCAGTATACAAAGCCCACCATGAGCAAACTAAAGATCAGTTGACTTCTACAAAGTTGTTTAACAAGCCACCAGTTATCCAACCAAGTGGATCATCCTCTCCGAATGCCCACAAGCTACAACAACCTGCTGAAACCCCTCAGAAAAAGGCTGGTCAGAAAAGTGAAGTTGTTTCAAACAGTAATAGTGTGAAAAGTGTTGAAACTGATAGAAAAGAAACCTTCAAGCCACTTGTGAGACAAGGCAGTTTTACTATAGATAAGCCTAGCTCAAATGTACCTATAGAACTTATTCCACACATTAATAAACACCCTGTACTATCACCTACATTTCCTTTTACATCTATGAGCAATGTAAGAGAGAGAAGTGACTCTGTAGACACTGACTCCAGCATGGATACTACTCTGCTGCTCAAGGATACAGAAGCAGTCATGGCTTTCCTTGAAGCGAAACTGAGAGATGACAGCAAGATTGATGACGATCCAAAAACACCTAGCTACACCCAAGAAAATTCAATATCCCCTGAATCGGATGTTGATACTGCAAGCACGATTAGTTTTGTTGCTAATGACACCGATAAAAAATGTCCCCAAAAACGAAAAACCCTTAGCAGTCTGCACAAGGATAAAGCCTCAACATCATCCCCTTCTAAAGAATCCCTCACTTCATCAGTATCCATAAACCGAGAAAGAACTGAAAGAAAAAATAAAACTCATGTTAGGGAGGCTGGAAGCAGAAGTGATATTCAAAAAGTTCTTCGAACTAGTGCAAGGAACAGACAACCATCCCTTGACTTGACAGATGATGATCAAACCTCTAGTTTACCTTGTTCTACTGTGTCAGATATTTTATCTTCTGATCAAGAAACATATTCCGGAAGGTCACACTCCAAATCTCAGTTTGCCTCTGTAGATGACAAGTTTACTACAATAAAAACTGCTGCAGCTAATAAGCCAGTTACTCTTCCTAGGCCTCGTCCAACAAGGACTTCACTTTTGCGCAGATCACGCTTAGGTGAAGCTTCAGACACAGAGGTTGGAGATACTGATAGAGCATCAGTTGCCTCAGAAGTATCAACAACAAGTTCAACATCAAAGCAACCTGCTAGTAGGAAACCACTGTCAAGAATAGATTTGCTGGCACAGCCTCGTAGAACAAGGCTTGGTTCTTTATCTGCACGCAGTGACTCAGAAGCAACAATAACAAGAGGTTCTGGATCTTCACGAGCTTCAGAATATGCAATTAAAAGTAGTGCTAAAATGACTCCAACAACCGATGGGAGAAGTTCTCCAAGAGCCAGAGCTAACAGCATTTCTCGCCTTTCAGATACCAAGACAAAAGTGGTTCCATCTGCTCATGGATCCCTTGCTGGTAGGTTTTCATGTTGGTCCATTTTTAATAACACATTTATTATGATCTATGTCTATCTCAAGCATGTTTAAATTCACATACTGATTCATTACTCTTCTGGAAGCCTGTTTGAAATATACACTTTAGTAAAATAATACTTTCTAATGTTACTCTTAAACTTTTTTTTTAATCAAAGTAGCACTGTAAATGTAAAATTACACTTTTTCTGAGAAAAAAGGCCTCCTGAGCATTAGGTAAAAAGTTGTTGCTGATCAGTCCCAGCATTGTAATAAGGACTGGGTAATTGTATGTTATACAGTAAATATTTTATATATTGTGACAGCACTATGGGAGAATGGTTATAAATGACACTCAGTGTTCTCATCTATACGGATTTAGGAGCTGCTACAGAATGTGTGTTTGGTACAGAAGAAACTGGTTGTTCACCCTCCTCTGCGATTAGGAAGTCCTAGTGTGGTTGCAGGAGCCCAGAGGCTTCATATAGACTGATAAAGAGAGATCGAGAGGGATGAAGTCTCTAACCTTGAGTCCATGTTTTGCCAATAGCCAGCACCCTGATTGGCAAGTTTGTACATCCCTTATGAATTTGGTGTTTGTAAAAGTTCAGGGCTCCCTCCTCCCCAATGAGTTCCTGTGGCTGCAAGGAAGCAGCAAACACTAGAGGTGTGTGATGGTCTGCGTGGAAGCAGCTGAAGTGTCTGAGCAGCCTGAGATAACCAGGAGGTTGAAGTTAAGCATTTGTGTTGCTATCGAAGAGTTGCTGCAAATCCTTGCGAGCTCAACCCTCTGATATTTTGAGAAACTTTCTTTTAAATAAAAGGGGGCAAGACAGCCCTAAAATTATTTTTATACATCTATTTAAGACATCGCCCACAAAATAAATAGCCAAAGTCACGTTGCTACAAAACTTGTTTCAGAAACATTAAGGCTGAAGGTTTTTTTTTTTTTTTACCTTCATGCATTCTTCGCATAAAGGTAAATAAGCTTCAGTGTGTGGCTCCCCCTTCAGCCCCATTTATACAGTATTTACCAGAGCTCGATCTCGATCCAACGATGTGCACAAGAGCAGCAACTCTCCTGCGCCTCTCCCTCCTCATTTGCTCAGACACAGCAGAAGGAGCCATTGGCTCCTGCTGCTTTCACTCACAACCAGTGAGGAGGGAGCCGGGGGCAGAGCCAAGCTGTGCTATATGTGTCTTATAGACAAAGAGGTGGCTTGGGAATGAGCACACATGAACAAGCTGCTTGCTCTGGGGGTTCTTATTATTTTCAAATTGTGATAGCGGGAGAAGATCCCCTGTGTGCTCTCACAGGGAGAATCTGCAGCTGCTGGAATATTTTGCATGCTCCATCCTAAAAACTGGTGGTACATGTAACATGTTTCAAAATATGAACTTGCAAGATTAATGCAAGATTAAGGACTGGTTCACAATAGGATGCACACATTCCTCCGTGCTCAGTTTTTGACAGGACAGCACATGCAAAAAGTATGGCAGGTGCGACTTTATTAAAAACAGTGCCACATCAAACTGCATAGTACTGAATTACCATGCTGTTTGGTAGCTGAAAATGCGCGCCCTTTTGCTTAGATGCATTTGGGGTTCCATTAACAATTATTGGCACCTGCACGCATCTTGCAAGGGCAGCATGTTCTCCTTGGGTGCGTGTAAATGTCTCTCCTACACCGCAATCTGGTGTAAATGGGCCCTAAAGGTTTTTTCTTAGGCTAAACTGTATTTGTTTTATGCAGGTACCAAGAGTCAAAGCTTTTTCTCCTTGATTGTAGAGCTGTAACCTTGCAGTCTAATGAACTGACATTTCTACTTGCACTGGGGTTGAATTAAATCCCATTCTCCAAAAAAACACATTTACAGTGTGTCATTTGATTTTTTTTTTTCACACTCTAGTTGTAAATATTTAACATATTATATTTTATCTTCTCACACCATTTTAAAAAAGTAGGTAATACCCGATGGAGACGAGTTCCTCCAGAGTATGCATCCACTTCTGAAGACGAATTTGGCTCTAACCGCAACTCTGCTAAACCCACTCGGCTACGTACTTCTTCAGCTGTTAAAATTCAGAAGACACAAGCTGTTGGAAACAGCCCAATTTAAAAACACCATCAGCAGCTCTCAACATTAGTTCATTCAAACATAAGGCTAAAGAGCAAGAAGATTATATTCGTGACTGGACTGCACATCGTGAGGAAATAGCGAGGTAATGTATTCATTATGGCACATGCATTGCTATATCATTAGATAACTGTAAATGTATATTTTGAATAAAATATAAACTACATACTGATCACAGACACTTGCATAAACAATTACAACTTATTGCACTAAAATAAAAAGAACAAGTGCAGCACTATTCAAAGTATGTCATGAGATAAATTGTAAATGACAAAAAATATTATAAAGCGTCTAATCTCAAATGTTCAATTTCAAGAAAACATTACAAGAAATGTGCCATGCAGTCTAAACAAAAACAGTGTGAAACCAAATAATGCAATCCAAAAAGCACCAAGCGAAATGTTCAGCTTGTGCATATATATAATAAGATACATGAATGTTTCACATTAACCCTTACTAATACATTTTCCTGAATCATGTTGGGTTGTTGGACAAAATTTTCTTTCACTATACAGTTGTGGCATAACCTCGTCAGCTGTCCCCTGGGTGTGTTTGTTAACCAGGATGTATGGTGACAGATGTCCTAGGGTATATAAAGAAAAAAATAATAAAAATATTGTACTGTCCTGGAAAAGCGATGAAAAAAAAAAAAGACAAAAAACCTTTAAACCCACCGACCACAACAGTTTAATCTCCTTTTTATTAAAAAGGGTTACTGGGGGGGGGGGGGGGGGGGGGGGGGGGGGGCGTAGCTTGAAACACGATGGAGTTTGGCGTATCAGAGGAGAGCTCAGTGTTCCTTACATCCTTCTATCAGTATCCTGGCAGTTATCCTGCATTTCCTCGCGTAGCCTTGACTCTGGAAAACCCCTGTAACCTATTCAAATGTTTCCAAACCGGACAAATTCCAGCTTAAAGATCGGCATGCCTCGGGGGATGATGGTGGCACCTCTACTTCAGATGCAGAACCTCAAGCGGCAGAGACTGCTAAAATCCTGAATGCGATCTCCGCGTACTAAGCGACTCTTACGTCTAAGATTGAGCAAGTTAAGATAGATCTCTACTACTCAAGACTTTCACAGACTGCAGGACAGCATCACCAAAGCTGAGATCCGTATTGGCGTGCCCTCTACAGCATGCAGCGCCGGATTCAGCAGAATACCCAGAAACAGGACGACATGGAAAATCACCTGAGACGGTGTAACCTTCGCTTTGTGGGCATACCAGATGGTGCTGAGGGAACCGACCTGGTCTCTTTCATTGAAAACCTCCTCATACATGGGAGAGGACCCACCGCATGGCCGCCCGTCCACCACTGCAAGGAGCACCACCACACACTTTTATAGGAAAGCTGCTCAACTACCAAGATTGGGATGCAGTTCTCCGCCTGGCCAGGGAAAAAGATAACATCCCTTTCCAAAATGTCAAAGTGGCAGTCTTCCCTGATTTTCCCATGGAGGTCCAACGTCAGTGGTCCCGATTTGAGGAGGTCAAATGGCGCCTTCGAGTCCACCAACTCAAGTATGCCATGTTGTACCCTGCCAAGCTTCGGGTGGAAGCTGAAGGCTGTGTCCAATTCTTTGAAGATCCTGAATTGGCGTCTACCTGGCTGGATCAATGGTCTGCTGCGGGTGCTGCACCAGCTTGATTCTCCACTGGATGGTGCATCTTTGTGAGTACTTTCATACCCTGTTGTTCAGCCATGATGGTCGCCCTTTTTGCCAGCACCAATAACTGGCCCCGCTTCGCCTCTTCTTATCACTTTGTGGCTGCTTCACTCCACCCTGTCCCTCATCAGATCATAGTTTATTTCTACATGGGCATGGAATTTCATTACCTAACTTCTGGGCGATTGGCAGGGTAAATACACGGCCAGTGATGCCAACTGCATGGATCCCCAGCACCTGCTGATTGCCCGTTTTTTTTTATATCCCAGCCCTCTATCACCCTATTCAGCTATGGTCATCTTTTTCCACAGATTGCAGTCCCTCATCCTGTGGATACCTTCTTGCATTTTCATACTTGAATATATGAAGACACCTCTCCTCTTTAACTCTCTAAATCCCTGTATTGGAGATCTCTGTACAACACAGTGTAGAATCCAAAGAACAAAGGTATACCGCTGAGGCAAACAATCCAGATCAATCCACAACAGGTGCAGGCTCTGGCTTGCCACCCACACACACACACACCATGCAATAGGAAGAAGGGTCAGCCGCACACCGGAGGATAGATGAATATAGTGTGTATTTATTGATCCATAGGACACACAAAACACCAGGATATGAATACAGGACCTGTTAACGCGTATCACGCGATCTCGTGTTTAATCATAACTAGCACGAGATCGTGTGAAACGCATTAACAGGTCCTGTATTCATGTCCTGGTGTTTTGTGTGTCCTATGGATCAATAAATACACAATATATTCATCTATCCTCCGGATTGCGGCTGAACCTTCTTCCTATTGCAACACAATGTAGAATTGTCATGCATCTTGCTCACTAGCCTTTGTCAGGTTGGAGTCAGATTCTGGAATCCACAGTTCCCCTACTGACCCAGCAATCTGTTACCCCTACTTATGTGTTTTGCAATTTAAGTTTTCTGTTTGAGTTAATGGGATGTATGCTTTGACCATGTTGGCGAGGTCGAGAGCTGGGTGGGGGGTGAAGGTTGTAGATCAGGGGTGTCAAACTGATGACCCTCCAGCTGTTGTGGAATTACAAGTCCCATAATGCCTCTGCCTGTGGGAGTTATGCTTGTAACTGTTAGCCTTTCAATGCCTCATGGGACTTGTACTTCAGCAGCAGCTGGAGGGCTGCCAGTTTGACACCTGTGTTGTAGATTGTTTCTTATTGCAATGCACCATTTTCTCATATTGAGTTGCTTTATGGTGGATATATGCCTCTGGTGCTACTAATGCAAAATTGAACATGTATATCATTGATTGGTCTGCCATGCCGGTCTGGTGACTGTTCACCTGTACCTTACATTACTGGTCTAACCCATGGCCCCCCTTAATTCTTGACGTGGAATGTCCGTGGCCTGCTTGACAAAATTAAGCACCAGTACTAGCTTTCCTCAAAGGCCAATAGGCGGACATAATTGTCTTGGTGGAAACCCATATTACAGGCCACTTACCGCTGACTCTAAAACACTCCTGGGTGGGCTGTGCTGGGCATACCATGCTACTCATTCCCCTTACTCACAGGGCATGTCAGTTCTGATACCAAAATTCGTTCCTTTTAAGCTAATAACGGTAAGCACGGACCCAGAGGGCAGATTAGTGTTTTTGCAGGCATGCATATTTGGTCACCCTATTCTTATACTTGCATGCTATATATCCCCCTCTTATAATTCAGTGGTAATTAATGAGGGTCTAGCCTTTATGGCTCAACACCAGCCTCGCCTGCAGTCTGGCTGGGCAATTTCAATATGGTCCTGGATCAGGATGTAGGCTGGTTGAGCCAGACACCTAGTAACTCCCCAGAGGGGCCGCTATATCGGTTACTTAAACACTTTGTTCTAGTGTACTCCTGGTCCTTTAAATACCCCTCCCTCAGGGCCTATTCCTGCTTTTCAGTCACCCACTCTTCTATGTCCCGCATAGATTTCATTTTTTTGTCCCATACCCTACTCCCAACATTGGAGGATGCAGGTTTTGGACTAGAATTCTGTCTGACCATTCCCCATACTGGGTAATTTTGGTTGTGGGCCCTCCTCCAGTTAGGCCCATTTGGCGTTTAAACCCCTTTTGGTTGACGGCTCTGGGAGATATGGAGGAGAAGACCTGGGAATGGCAATACCCCCGAGGAAGTCATGAGTAGACAGTGACGTAACGCGTAGGTACGCGAGTACGCAGTTTCCGTTGCGCGGTGACGCACTTCCGGCGTGCGACGACATCTTGGTATACCCAGGAAGTCCCGCACACATGCAGTATACCCACACATCGGTGAGGAGGGAGAACTGCGAACTATGTGAGTGTTATTCCTTCTTTTGCAATAAACGAGTCATATTTGCACTAATACTACACTTAGAGGGTCTCTTTTTTTTAGCTCACTGGGCGGGTGAGCCACTGTTCCCTAGAGACATCTGGGCTGATTAGGGGCAATAGGAGCCCCATAAGGAGATCTACTGGAGGAAGAAGGCTGCTGGCCCATATGATTTAAGGATCCAGGGTGATCCTGCAAGCGTGTTGACCCCTAGGGGTCACAGGGAGGAGGTGAGGAGGCAATCTAGCCACAAACAGAAGAAGAGTGTTGGCACAATCACATAATTGTTAAACACCATTGCACATTGCATGATTTTATTCCTCACTGATTGGACATTTTTATGATCATTTTGAAGAGTGGACACTTTTTGTTTGCACTTTAGCACTATATGTTTAGCCCCATGTTTGTTAGGGGGTTTTGTTGATACATGGTTTAATATTTAAAATATTAAGTGTATGTGCACGTTTGTTTCCAAGTGAAAGGCACATTTTTAGTTATTGTATTTATTTAGTGTGTGGGCACGATTTGAAGTGAGGGGCACAGATATTTATTTTAGGTCTGACACTATATATGTTTTGCACTATTGGAGTGAAGAGTCACATTGTATGATTTTCATTTTTTATTTTTATTATCTTCTTAGTATTTTGCAGTGAAGAGTCACATTGTATGTATTTATTTGTTATGAGCGATACACTATTTATATATAAATACTTCTTTGTAACTAATGCAACCACCGCCTCGCCTGGAGCTGTGTGGGAAACCTTCATGCTAGAGTGCTATTCACACTTCAGATCTCCTGTCTAAAGTCCTCATCCATACAGGCCCTCCAAAATGCCACTGCACAATAGAGCCAACTGAAAGAATCGTTTGTTAGGGATCCCTGTCCTACTTTGGCTATTACCCTGAAGATGCAGACACGTATCGTGGACCAGTTGCATCTTGAACAAGCCAAGCATCAACTCTTCTTTTGTAAACAACAAATTTTTGAACATGGAGAAATGGCAGGAAAGTTGCTGGCATATCTGGTCCACCATGATCTTAGACCTCCGGTGGTTGTTTCCCTCAGAAGGTGCCCTTATTAATGACCCCTGGCT